CAGATTTGTTCCACCTTGTGGAAATAAATAATGAATAATCACCTGTAATACCATGGTGTGGCCATTAGATGGCTGTATAGCTATGTGTATATATTCAGTGCTGTGCATTCCTTAGTTACTGAGCAGTGTTTTCAGGCATAACCGCTTACGTTTTTGCCACCTCCTTTATTGCTGTGCATTGTGGCTGATTTGTAGATTGCACACACAAAAACATCTCTGTATTTTTGCCTATTTTCCATTCATTTCCAATGGTGGTCATTTCTGACCGCGAACAACACAAGTGTGATTTTTTTCACAACCATTTAGCTTTTTCGAATCAAGTTCAAAGATGTTTTTTTTTAAAGATTTTTAAGATTTCCAAACATTTGTTTTTTCGTCCTAAAATGACCGAACAACACCAGAGGGTAACATTTTACAATAAGGCTTCAACTAACGATAAAAAATAATTCTGAAATATTGAAATTAAGCTCAGCATTTACTAATTCATTTTACGATCAAGTTGTATGTAACATTACTGCAGTGTAGACCAACATTTTTATTAATTAAAGGATAATAAAGGCTGTAAAAATAATGTTAATGCATTAACTAATGAACTATTCAGGATGATGTTTTAAACCTCCTCTTGTGATTTTGTGGTGAAATATGAGCCGCAGGTTTATCGAGATTCATGAGGATTGATGTTTAATCTCGCTCTGTCACACTGTATTAGGAGTCTTTTTTAAATTGTTTTATATTAGTAGTGTAATATTGCATTACTCTTTTTAAACTGAGAATTTCATTTGGTTGTTGTTACTTTTGTCTGTTTCGTGTAACTTTGTATGAGCTTGTTAAAATGATTTTTCTGGAATTTTTTCAGTAAATCAAACCTGATTATGAAACCTGATTTGACTGTTGATCAAAATAATGGAGATATCACACACACACACACACACACAAAAACGCTCTCACACACACGCTCTGAGACGCTTTATCTCAATTCTTATTCCAGCAGAGAATCAATCATCTAACCTCTGGATCATAAAGACTAGAATGAGTTCATGATTTCAAATTAACTACACATTAAAAAAAAAAAATTAAAGGAAAGGCAAAGAGAAAGTGAGAAATCTTTGGTTTTTATCCTTAAGAGGATTTCTGCTTTGGGAGCCACAAAATAAAACTATGTTTTTTCATATATTTCTATATACTCCTGGAATATAGTGTGTGTTTTCTGACTAAAGAGGAGGAGAAACGGAGGGCGGCACAAAAAACGCTGATGAATCTTTGGTTTTCAATCCTGCAGAAAATAATAAAGATGAACCTGAAGCTGCTTGCACGCAATCACTGATAAACGCAATATAATAAACCATACAGCGAGAGATGAGAGCAGAGCAAAGAACAGAAACTGCTGATATTTTCATATAAAAACAACGAGACGCCATCAGCGAAAGGAGTTAAAAAAAAAGACGTTTGCTTTGGCAAAGAAACAGAAATGACGCTGAAGCGTGTCTGTACACAGTAGTATGAGCAGAGTCTTCAGATGAAGATCCTTGAGCATCAGTGCTGGAGGATTCCTGACCTCTGACCCCTGCTCCGTCAGATCGCCAGGAACAGACAGATGTGAGCGAATCACACAGGTTAAATCAATTCAGTTGAACGAACTCGATTCAGAATCAGTTCACTCAGAGTTGGCTTGCATCTCTCGCCGGCACCCGTTAGTACTCGTTTAAAGCCTTCTAACCGTATTGATAAAGTGATGTCGAGTTAGAGTACTAGTTTAAAAAGTCTTCTGAAAAGAACCTCCACCCAACGCAACGAAAAAGATCTGAAATGCTTTTGGTTAGAAATCATCTACAATCGGCTCGTTCCACAGAGCCGCGAATAAAAACAACAGAAAGCCTCGTAGAAAGTCAATAGAAACTCTGTTACGCGAAACAATCTCTCGTCAAGAATTTGAAAGAGTCACATTTTTGGTTAATTTAGACGTTAGTTTAAGAAACTGATTAAGTTCCATCCTCCTTGAGCTTGACGATTGTTCGCAAGAGTTTTTGGTGATAGCACAGAATTGGGGCGGAGCCACACGCTCACTGCGCCTTCGAGGCCACGCCCACACTCTTGGTCGTCGTGGCGACGTCACTGGTCAGCTGCAGGTTGAGAGCTCCGCCTCCGGCCCCGCCCGCCGACAGCAGATTGGCCGGCAGCAGAGAGAAGCTGGACGGGTTGAGGAAGAAGGGTGTGGTCACCAGGCTGGGGGCGGGGTTTCCCGCGCTAGTGTTGGCGAATAGCAGGTTTCCGTCGATGGAGGTCAGAGGAAGAGCGCCGCCAGACGCCAGAGCTGATAAACACAAACACCACAAACATATTCATACAGCAAAATCATGACTTTCATGTTTATAATTCCTCCATATCCTCATGTAGGCCTGGTCGATAAAATCGGTATTTAGTAACGATAAAAGATGTTTGCTGAAATGAGTGCTGTGTTTGCCTGTGACGAGGAGAAGGTGAATAAAAAATGAATATTAATCGAACTTGAAATAAAAATGTGCTTTTGAACTAGTGCTGTCAAACGATTAATCGCATCCAAAATAAACGTTTTTGTTTACATAATATAAATGTGTGCGCACTGTGTATAGTTATTACGTATATATAAAGACACACATGCATGTATATATTTAAGAAAACTGTTATGTTTATAAATTAAATATATTTATATATAATATAAATTATATGAATATAAAATGTATTCGTGCAAATATTTTCATATTACACGTGTGTTATTATATTTGATAAATATACAGAGTACACACATATATTATGTAAACAAAAACGTTTATTTTGAATGCGATTAATCGTTTGACGCGCTAGTATATATATATATTAGGGGTGTAACGATTCACTCGTTTTCTCGACGCATCGATTACAAACCCTGACGATGCAATGCATCGATCTTGAAACATGGATTTTTGAATCGTGAATCGTCAGAGAGTAATCGATTTAAAACGCTAAGAATCGAATGAATCGCGATTTCTATAGCGATTCAATGCTTTCAAAATATATACACATTAAATGACTACAAGCCGGAATTAATGGAGAGCTTGAACAGTGTTTGTGCCTCGCATCTCTCCTTCTCGCGCTCCAGTATTTATTATATATTTTTACAGTGTCACAGGATTGCGCTCGCGCTCCGTTCGTCTCACTGATGTGTGATCTCTCATGAGTACTCGTGGCCAGTAATGCTAAAGTGAAGTAGTTTTTCAGTGGCTCTCGGTCATACCGACGACGACATTACCTTCCACTGAATGATAAATGTGTTTTAACAATGTTGTTGAACCGAATGTACGAAGGAAACTGTTAAAATAACCACAGCATTAACAACAACCTTGAAATAAGAGCGCGAGGTTTATCTGATAATCAGATGCGTGAAAGTAGCGTTCGTTGCTATAGCAACAGACATCCGGTGCGTTTTCTTTCAGAATCATCATTCGCCGATGGAGAGGAAAAGTGAAACACTATAACATGCTATTTTATAAAATGAGATACTGAAAGAAGTGATCGCGCGCTCACAGACGTGCAGGCTATATCTGCAGCAGAATGAACTGATGAAACGTCAAGACAATAAACACAATAAATAAATGACATTTATGAATGATGCAGTGCTAATTGATATATAATTTAGTACAGTACAGAAACTATAAAGTATATTTTATATCTTATTCTGTGCAGAAAATTGAAATAATTGTTTGTAGCATATAAAACGATCATAAAATTGCCATTAGGAAACAATTATAGATTACAAATGATTGATTATTGTCCAGCAGTGTATTTGATTTCTTACAGCAAATTCAAAGTAAGAGATAAGAAAATACTAATTTCATAAAACATACATTAAATTATTGTATGACATTTCTGTCACTTCTGAAATGATGACTATGCCCCTACTTTTAAAGCTCTTTTTTAAAATCTTGGCTTACATAAATTTCTACATATGTCATGCCATAGCATCATTAAACTAGCATCTAATAATGCACAAAAGAGTTTTTTCTCTCTAACCATAAAGGCTGCTGTGTAATTTGCCTCCTGACGAAGCATTTAAAGAATCCTGTGAATGCACTTAAAGACTGCAGATTCAAATCACTAATCGAATCGATTCGCTGACTACCAAAAGATTCACAGCCCTAATATATATATATATATATGTGTGTGTGTGTGTGTGAGAGAGTGTGTGTGTGTGTGTGTGTGTGTGTGTGTGTGTGTGTGTCTCAATGAAACAAAAATCCTTCCAGGGTTAATATAGATTTTTGTTACTTGAAATAAAATAATTGTTAACTGCACTAAAATACAAAAACTTCAATTTCACGGCGTCTCATTTGTTTTTAAATGCAATCGTGTGATCGGCGCCTCGGATCTTTATATTAAGCAATGCATAAATACATGATGCTGTTTGGTTCATAATTGTTTATGCATTTACAAAATGATATTTGATTTCATTTAGACGTTATGCACTTTTTTACAGACCATTATTTCATTGCATTGAACTGCATTATTTTGCTCCTGTTGCTTCGAGAAGCAAGCAAAACGTTCCCTTAACACTTCTGCGCATGAAACATAAGAAAGGAGATATGCGTTTACATTTTATTTGGTGTTTGACTGTTAAAACCAAAAAAGTATTTGTCGTTAGTCTTAATAAATTGGTTAAATTGAAACCTTTTTTCTATTGCTCTTTGTTTTCAACAGGTTATAAACATGCGAGTAATTTTTGAGACAGAATGAGACGAAGCAGTAGTTACCCTGGATGGTGGCCAGCAGGTTGTTGTTCATCAGCGCAGGAGCCAAACTCAGCAGCGCCCCGCTGCACAAACACAAGAGCCAGCTCGTTAACACCTCGTTACGCAATGTCATGATACTACTACTGAACCCACACTACGACAAAACCACAGAACAACAGGAAAACTCATTGAATAGTAGATGATCCAAACGGAGATCATAGTTATTTGATCTATTTCAAAAAAGCATTTCATCTCCCTTCAAAAAAAATAAATATAAAATAATAATAATTGCATGCCAGTGCCACTGCACAGACGAGCAACTACCGAGATTTGCTACATTGATAAGTTCGCTAAAAGGATAAAGCCAAATCTTATTTCATTATGTAGTCATTTTATTTCACAGCAATAATTTTTATCTTTGTTATTAATGATAAAAACATGAATGCAAGTAACAAAGTAAAGGACAAATATAATAAAGACTTTGTTTTATTTTTTCCCAAATGCCATTTTTCTAGACTCTATTTTAATTGTTACATTAAGGAATATAAATCAGAAAGCATGTCTAATTAATTGAAATCATGAAACTTTCACAATTTAACAGCAATTTTTTTTTTAAGTTTAACTAAAGTTAATTTTTTTCAAGGCTCTGTGAAATAGGTTTTATTATTTTTTCTCAAATTCAGTTTTATTTTCCTGTAAATCTGTTTTTCATTAATGTTCTGGATTCCATTTGAATCATTTCTTTACATTTTAATAATCTATTTATTTAATTTTTTTGTTGTGTATTTACACTTTTCTGGAAAATAAATATTTAGTCTGGTAAATATTCCTTAAATATTTGTATTAGTACACAGGAGACTTTCTGCATTTTTACAATTTAAAAAAAAAACTTGGTTTACTTTATTTCTATAGCAGTTTTACAAATGTTGTCAGGTTAAGCTCACTTTTGGGTACAAATTTGTCCCCAAAATTTGGTTAAATAGGTACACACACACTCACACACACACACTCTCTCTCTCTCTCTCACACACACACACACACACACACACACACACACACTCTCTCTTTTTCTAGACTCTATTTTAATTGTTACATTAAGGAATATAAATCAGAAAGCATGTCTAATTAATTGAAATCATGAAACTTTCACAATTTAACAGCAATTTTTTTTAAAGTTTAACTAAAGTTAATTTTTTTCAAGGCTCTGTGAAATAGGTTTTATTATTTTTTCTCAAATTCAGTTTTATTTTCCTGTAAATCTGTTTTTCATTAATGTTCTGGATTCCATTTGAATCATTTCTTTACATTTTAATAATCTATTTATTTAATTTTTTTGTTGTGTATTTACACTTTTCTGGAAAATAAATATTTAGTCTGGTAAATATTCCTTAAATATTTGTATTAGTAGTAGTAGTACTATCATTACATTAAGTAATATATTTAACTTAAACCGAACTTTTATTTTGACGAGTTGCTGCGAAGACCTTTAAGTTTGTGAGAATATGATGTGACTAGTACAGTCTAGAATAGTTTTCTCGGTTCTAGAGATATGTTTATGTGTTCATGTAACACCGTGAACATCATGTGTTTAAATATGCAAATAAGGCATTGTCTAATTACATAGGCACTCATTTGCATATAGTTCCAGCACATAAATCTGAAGACATATTAGAGCTCAAGGTTTTTCCAGAGCGGCTTCTGGATTTCAGAAAATACCTTCCACAGCCAGAACACGCACATCTTCACCATGTTTTTAGGAGTAAAGTGTCGTATCAATCAGTGTGAATGAAATACGCACAAACCTTCAGAATAGAGAGGAATAAATCTGTAAAGTGTGCTGTTTGTAAAAGAAAAACTCTTTAAAGATTGTAATCTACAGACGCAAATAGATAAAGTGCAATAAAACAAACACTTAAATGTGGATCCTGGATGTTTTGCTTCCTCTAGTCTGAAAGAAATCATGAAATAATTAAAATGCAAATTAGATAAAGAGTCAGAAAATTACATTACAAATAAAAATCTCTGTAATATAAAATAAGTATTAAAATATATCACGTGTATATAATGTAAATGTGTGTGTGTGTGTGTGTGTGTGTGTGTGTGTGTGAGAGAGTGTGTGTGTGTGTGTGTGAGAGAGAGAGTGAGAGAGAGTGAGAGAGAGTGTGTGTGTGTGTGTGTGTGTGTGTGTGTGTCTCAATGAAACAAAAATCCTTCCAGGGTTAATATAGATTTTTGTTACTTGAAATAAAATAATTGTTAACTGCACTAAAATACAAAAACTTCAATTTCACGGCGTCTCATTTGTTTTTAAATGCAATCGTGTGATCGGCGCCTCGGATCTTTATATTAAGCAATGCATAAATACATGATGCTGTTTGGTTCATAATTGTTTATGCATTTACAAAATGATATTTGATTTCATTTAGACGTTATGCACTTTTTTACAGACCATTATTTCATTGCATTGAACTGCATTATTTTGCTCCTGTTGCTTCGAGAAGCAAGCAAAACGTTCCCTTAACACTTCTGCGCATGAAACATAAGAAAGGAGATATGCGTTTACATTTTATTTGGTGTTTGACTGTTAAAACCAAAAAAGTATTTGTCGTTAGTCTTAATAAATTGGTTAAATTGAAACCTTTTTTCTATTGCTCTTTGTTTTCAACAGGTTATAAACATGCGAGTAATTTTTGAGACAGAATGAGACGAAGCAGTAGTTACCCTGGATGGTGGCCAGCAGGTTGTTGTTCATCAGCGCAGGAGCCAAACTCAGCAGCGCCCCGCTGCACAAACACAAGAGCCAGCTCGTTAACACCTCGTTACGCAATGTCATGATACTACTACTGAACCCACACTACGACAAAACCACAGAACAACAGGAAAACTCATTGAATAGTAGATGATCCAAACGGAGATCATAGTTATTTGATCTATTTCAAAAAAGCATTTCATCTCCCTTCAAAAAAAATAAATATAAAATAATAATAATTGCATGCCAGTGCCACTGCACAGACGAGCAACTACCGAGATTTGCTACATTGATAAGTTCGCTAAAAGGATAAAGCCAAATCTTATTTCATTATGTAGTCATTTTATTTCGCAGCAATAATTTTTATCTTTGTTATTAATGATAAAAACATGAATGCAAGTAACAAAGTAAAGGACAAATATAATAAAGACTTTGTTTTATTTTTTCCCAAATGCCATTTTTCTAGACTCTATTTTAATTGTTACATTAAGGAATATAAATCAGAAAGCATGTCTAATTAATTGAAATCATGAAACTTTCACAATTTAACAGCAATTTTTTTTTTAAGTTTAACTAAAGTTAATTTTTTTCAAGGCTCTGTGAAATAGGTTTTATTATTTTTTCTCAAATTCAGTTTTATTTTCCTGTAAATCTGTTTTTCATTAATGTTCTGGATTCCATTTGAATCATTTCTTTACATTTTAATAATCTATTTATTTAATTTTTTTGTTGTGTATTTACACTTTTCTGGAAAATAAATATTTAGTCTGGTAAATATTCCTTAAATATTTGTATTAGTAGTAGTAGTACTATCATTACATTAAGTAATATATTTAACTTAAACCAAACTTTTATTTTGACGAGTTGCTGCGAAGACCTTTAATTAAGTTTGTGAGAATATGATGTGACTAGTACAGTCTAGAATAGTTTTCTCGGTTCTAGAGATATGTTTATGTGTTCATGTAACACCGTGAACATCATGTGTTTAAATATGCAAATAAGGCATTGTCTAATTACATAGGCACTCATTTGCATATAGTTCCAGCACATAAATCTGAAGACATATTAGAGCTCAAGGTTTTTCCAGAGCGGCTTCTGGATTTCAGAAAATACCTTCCACAGCCAGAACACGCACATCTTCACCATGTTTTTAGGAGTAAAGTGTCGTATCAATCAGTGTGAATGAAATACGCACAAACCTTCAGAATAGAGAGGAATAAATCTGTAAAGTGTGCTGTTTGTAAAAGAAAAACTCTTTAAAGATTGTAATCTACAGACGCAAATAGATAAAGTGCAATAAAACAAACACTTAAATGTGGATCCTGGATGTTTTGCTTCCTCTAGTCTGAAAGAAATCATGAAATAATTAAAATGCAAATTAGATAAAGAGTCAGAAAATTACATTACAAATAAAAATCTCTGTAATATAAAATAAGTATTAAAATATATCACGTGTATATAATGTAAATGTGTATTTTGGATGTTTTCTTTCCTCTGGTTTGAAAGAAAGCACGTTATTTCTTATATTTCCATCCCATAATACCCCGCTCGCTCACCCTTGCGTCAGCTGCGACGGAGTTATGATCGCCGGGTTCAAACCCGCGAAGGCCGTCAGATTAGCCCCGCCCAGTCCTGGGCCCGTCACCAGCAGCTGCCCCGCCCCCTGCGTGACCGTCGTCGCCGTGGAAACCGCCTGCGCCACGGAGGCCAGTTCCTGTTTGAAAGCGGTGGCGGATGGGCTGAGCGAGGATGATGTCATGATCGGAGTGGGCGTGGCCACAGCGGGCGCCATGGAGATGACGGAGGGCGTGTTAGACGTCACCTGACCCAGAGCTCCGCCTACAGCACCGAGATATAGAGAGAGCGTCACATGACCCACGAGTTCACGCTAAATATGGAGGAAGATGGAGCTGTGACTGCAGGAGACGCACCGCTGAACGTCAGGTTAGAGATGCTGCCGCCGCTCAGAGAAACCACAGGACTGACCGTCAGTGTGCTCGTGCCGCTGGACACCTGAACACAGCCAATCACTCGTCAATAATCAATAATCACTCAATCACCAATCACTCATCAATAATCACTCAATAATCAATAATCACTCAACCACTCATCAATAATCACTCAATCAATAATCACTCAACCACTCATCAATAATCACTCAATCACTCATCAATTATAACTGAATGAAACTTAAATTATATTATTTCACTGAAATATAAAATAATACTAATACTTCATACTACTGTAACACTTGATACTTAAGCCTGTCTTAAACTGTGATAATGATTTGCTAAAGGATCTGATGCAGACAGTGATGTGGTTTTCTAAGAGTTGGTCTGATCTGGTCTAGTCTGGTCTGGTCTGGTCTGATCTGATCTGATTTGGTCTGATCTGGTCTGATTTGGTCTGATTTGGTCTGGTCTGATCTGATTTGGTCTGGTCTGGTCTGATTTGGTCTGGTCTGATTTGGTCTGGTCTGATTTGGTCTGGTCTGATTTGGTCTGGTCTG